AAATGGATTTTGATGGGAATCTATGTTAACAAGAAGGTGAATGCATGAAACAACTTCCATTCTAGGTAACAGTATATTACACCATACAGGCAAAACATTTGACTCCTCAAAGTTTTAATAAGAACATTATTTTCACCTTCTCAGCAGCTTCAGGTTGTTCCTTGTTAAGGGAGCTCTGCACCTGAATGATCTGATTACTGATGGACCGGTAATCTCCATCCAACTTCTTGCGGGCATTAGCAAAGGCAGTGGCATCTTTGCTTGATTTGTACTTATGGATGGCATCAGAGTACACTGAGTAAAGACCACTCTGACGGTCTACCAGGCGTTGGCCCTCATCGATAAGGCAAGCTGCACGCATGCGCGACTCACTGGCTTCATCCTTGAAGGGAAGAAAAATGATATGTGAAAGATGGGAGTCAGTGCATGGTAAAAGTACTCAATGCAGTGGGTAAATAACAAATAGATGCACAGGGATGTAGATAATAGCTGGAAGCTGGGAAAATTACCCGGCTGTGAACGTGATTTTTCCTGCTGTAAAGCACTACTTCTTTCTCCAAAATGTTTTTAAATGTTGCCAGAAGATTGTTATTTATTTTGTTTGTTTACACCTTCATTGCTGTCTTACCTGAACTGAAAGGATTGTAAACATCGCATCGTCCATTTTGCAGGCTCAATGGCCAGCGGTATTTGTAGTTCATGTATGCAAAATAATGAATGCCCTTGATTTTGCCCCCAAAACCAAGGAAAACGCATCTCCAAGAGTATGCATTTTCAAAATTTCCCGGGGGAGGCATGCCTCCAGACCCCCCTAGGTATAGTGTGCCAAAGGCATGCTTGAAAGGGCCTTTAGCCCAAATACCCACCTATCATTGCTAGATTCCCACCTGTTAAAAACTTTAGCTACATCCCTGATGCAGCAGCGTCAAGAAAGTTTTCTTTACATGTAAAAAAAGCATAGACAGTAATACCAGTTGCCTAGTATGACTGTTATTAGAGAAAATATCTAAGAATTTTAACCAAGAGAAAGAAAAGAAACCTGCTGGTGGCTAAAGGACAGAAATTTCAGTGACTTTCCATCAATGCATGTAACTAATGTCCTAGTGCCCTGAGAAGCATTCTACTTTCAAGCATAAAGCCCTTCTGTAGACCAAGCTTCCTTGGATGAGTACCACTCAAACTCTGTCAGTATCTATCAACAACAGAGTTTGACACCTGGCTACCTGCATCACTAGTCACCGGACCAGTGATTTCTAAAATTTACTAGCCCAAAACACAACTTTGTAGCCTGGATCAATTTCCCTCGAGGTCTACTTCAACCCCAAACAGACAAACCTTCCTCTTAACTTATTGGCAAGGTCTTCAAAAAAGAATATTACAAATGCTTCAAGTGTGAGGCGATGTGCAAGGCATCGCAACATTGGTAAGCGCAGAGTCTGGGATATAGTGATGTTTATGATCGACACGCAACACAAAAAAAGACGCCATGAATTAGATGAAAGGCTTCTGCCATCTTTCTTGGTATTATCATTAAAATTTGAACTATATTGTTTTTTTTTTTCAATCAACTATGAACTTCAAGTAAACTCATTATTCATATAAGTTCTTTCAATTTTTCAACTAGCCAGTGGGCTATTAAACATGGTTTTTTACCAGCCCGACCAAATTTTTACTAGCCTCAGGCTACCGGCTAGTGGAGATCTCGAAGCCTGAACAAGGGGCTCAAGTGGTAAAAAAAAAAAAAAAATGTTTCACCTTATACTACCACATTCTATGAGTTGGACAACCTCCACACCACTACACAATAAAATTAAAACCTCATGAGAGATTTTTCACACCAGTAAATTTTGCAGCCTTACCTTGCTGATCGCAAAGTCCAACCTCATGTAGATAACAACCAGCATGAAAAGCAAGTAGAAAGCACCAACAACAAGAAGTGGCTCTTGTAAGAGAAGCACTTTATTGAAGGTGTAGTGCAGCTGTTGAAAGACCAGAGTGGA